ACGGTTCCATTGGGTTTCACTGCGATGCAAAATGATGTTAATCTGCAAGGCTTTTCTTTACTACAGAGCTCAGACAGCAGAGGCCATTTTTGAAAACATGGCCCCTTATTTTGGTCCCCAACATTAGACATGATGGACAACTCACTCCTTTAGCCTCTTAAAAAAGCCCAGCCTTGAGCAACACAGCCACTGTTTAGCCACTTAGCGCCAGGGACAGCAATGACTTCAAATGGGACCATGGTTCCCCCCATGATGGCAGAGACAGATGGGCTGTTGGTTTAGACAAGGGAGCATTTATCGGAGCAAGTGCAAGAAAAAAAGTTGTTAGTGGAGGAAAGTTTTGTGGGAAATCTCTGTTTAGGCGGGGCAGCAGCAGAGCCTGAATATGGCAAGGTCCGAGAGACACTCGTAAGGATTATTTTCTAATTGGAATGAGATTCTTGTTACTGGGAAGAACTGCTGGTTCCAGATTGCCTGATCACATACAGGAACGCAGCACTGTGGGCTGTGACTATGACAATGCCACTGCATTCCAGAAAAGCAGAAAACTGAGCTGCTTTGTGTATAGGCCAGTGTAGTGATCTCTCCATCTCAGGCTCAGAGGCAGACTGCTCTGACTGCCAGTGTTAGCCAACAAAAGCTATTTAACAGTCCCTAGCCCAAGCCTCTTGCTTAGGACAGACAACTAATCACAGTCTGGGCTCTGGCCCTATGACAGAGCAATAAGCAGCTTTAACCCTAGCCTCCGGGCTAAGACAGACAGCAAACAGTGTAGGGGGCTTGCAGCCTGGGAGGGGAAAGCCACAGGTAAGGTGCCAGCCTTCCAGCCTAGGCTGAGTAGACTTCCACCCAGTGGTATAATTGGCAGCAGGGAGGAAGATGAACCCTGGCCCACTCCAGTCCACTGAGTACTTGCCCAGGGCACTAGGAGAGGTAGGGGGTCCCACCACTGGGTCAGCAGGGATCCTGCCAAAACACACCCTCTCATATTGCAGCTGTACAACCTGACTTGTGTCTGTTTTTCCTGGGCTACTTCCTACCACCATCCATTGGTGTGGCTCCAGAATCTGCAGGTCTTCAGTATGGTCTGGGTTTGTGGTAGACAGCAGACCCAGCAGCTCTTCCCCATTCTTGGTCTCCACCAGGGGGCTCAGGGGCTGGGCTGGACTCCTGCTATGAGCTAGAGACACCTGCCTCTTTCACAGCATTGCCAACCTCACACGAAAGAAAATCACCAGAGAAACCCTGAAAAGTCGCTAGATGACACTCTGTAGCCTACAGGAGGAAACACTTCAGCCAGATGCAACAAGAAGTGCACATGCAGGGAATCTCTCTCCCTTAAAGGAGTGAGGATGCCTAGGGCAATGTCAGGGAGGGAGTCTCTCCCCGTGGGGTGGAGGTGTATCCTCAGGAAAGGGTGGAATTAGGGCAGGGTGGCACTTAAAAGGGGAGAGTTGGAGGGGGACTATGATTCTTCACAATCCTGCCCCTGCCCAGCTCCTTCTCCTTCGCTGCTCTGCCAAGCATTGCCAGCTCAGCATCTGCCAGTGTCAAACCCACCTGGGCATCTTCCCTCTTTGCTCCCCCTCCCCAGCTCCACTGGCTGCATTTTGGAGGTGGAGGTGCAGATGGGGAGGAGATTCGGGCTGCACCAAGAACCACTTCAGCCTCTTCCTGCAGCCACTCTGAAGCTACCCCCTGCACGGATACAAGTGGCATCTGCCTCTGAAAAGGATGAGACATGAGAGTGCGAGTGGAGGCCCCTCCGTGCCAGCAAAGAGTAAGAGAAATACAATAAATATTGTAATCGAGGCATTTCTGGAATGTGCTGACCTTGAAGGCTCACGGGCATCGAAGCTGCCCCCTCAGAATCCCCAGAAGGATTCAAACCACACCTATTGCCCAGCAGCGCATAGGAGTGACTGGAGATGGATCCAGCGTAGCTGTAGCTTGCCAAGGGCCCTGCCCATAAAGCTCTTGCCTGAGGGAGACACCCTGGCCCACCAATTGGCTGGACAACTCTGCTTATACCAGAAAGAGGCAAGAAGTCGTTCAGAGCAGGGCAGAGGTTCTCCAACATCATTGCAGCCCTTCTGACAACAAAGGAGGGAGAGAAGCCTGAGCCTGCCTGAGTCCCACTAACAGGTAGAATGGCCCTAGGTAAAGGCTGTGGGCTGGGGTGAAGGAGAATATTTTCACTTCCATGCCACTCTTCTCTGGTATGACCTTCAGCGGGTCACTTAATCTGTTTGTGTCTCTCTTCCCACCTGTAAAGTTGGGTAACATTTCCTTTCTCACAGAAGTGTTGAGAGGGAGCTATCTTACCCCCTCAGTGAGGCACACAAACACTACAGTGAGAGATGCCACTGAAATTCTTAACCCAGGAGAAATGCAGCTCAGCTTTCGCTCCAAGCCAGTGCCCTAACGCCAGCACTGGGGCTTCTGAGAAATCAGCAGATTTGCTAATGAACAACATAAATCTAGCGTAAGACCAGAAATAATGGAGGAGGCTGTGTCCAAACATATGCCTCACACTTATTCCTGATGTGGCTACATTGACCAGCAGAAGTCGCAACAACATCAGTCATCCTATTGCATGGGGACCAACATTCATCAAAGGCCTTTACCTTCTTTTTCAAGGGCACACAGGAATACCTCGGGACAAATAATTATTCTTTCCCCAGTCTGAATGTTCCACAACAGGGCCCCAGTCCAACCTGGAGTCTGAAAAACAGCAGACCATGGGAACAAACAATCTTTGCAAACTAGGTTGCAGATGCCACACCAAGGAAAAATATGAATGGCTAAAGCCTCATCCTGCGTGTGTAATTTGGAAGTCCGTGGAACTATCCATGGAAGTAAATTACACTGCCAAGACCTTCCCATCCAGATTCTGAAAAACAACAAACCACGAGAGAAAAAAGATTTACTCACTCTACAAGCTCAAGTCACAAGTGCACACAGCTCCAAAAGAGCTTCTATTAGCTTAGTTGGGATTGTGTAAATATCCCTCTCTTTAATGGGGCTTTTTGAAAATGTATCATATCGCACATGGGCATGACAGCAAAATTTGCAGAGGCAGGTGTCCTGCCCATGCATTTGAGACAGGCGAACTCAGCTGCCAGATGAACATGAATGGACTTTGCTATCATGACTTCTGTGAGCTCCATGATAAATTCACTGCCTTGACTATGATACAACATTATGATCATATGCAATTTTTCCCACAGGCCTCCTGCCCGCTTGACTTTAGATTTCTAGCTTATTTATCTAAACTGCATCTAGGAATTGCACCACCCCTATTTCTAAGGCGGAAGGTAACAACCATTTTGCACAGGTAGCAATACAATACAACAGGATACTTGGTTTTTTAAAGGCGAGCAAGTAAAATAGAGCTTCACCTACTGAAATTATAGGGGGAATTTGTGTAGGCAAAATAGAATGATTCATAGGTGCCAACACCATGGGTGCTCTGGTGCTGGAACACCTATGGGGAAAAGCTGGTGGGTGCTGAGCACCCATTAGCAGCCTCCTATCTGCCCCACTTCCTCCTCCCCAATGCCTCCTACCCACCAGTGGATCAGCACCACCATCTCTCTCCTGTGCTTCCCACCCACTACTGTTCCTGGTGTTTGGAGGCTCTGGAGGCACCGAGCAAGGATGCAGCATGCTCAGGGAAGAGGGCAGATCTGGGCAGGAAGAGGCAGGGCGCGGGTGGAGCAGCAGGGAGAGGTGAGACAGTGAAAGGCCCCCCACCCGGGCACCCCACTCGGGCAGTTTTGAAAGTTGGCACTTATTGGAATTTGGCCAAGACACTTGGGCCTTGTCTTCACTGGGAAAAGATTGTTTTCCTACCACAGGGTAACTAACACCTGGTAAAATTTGAGGGCATAAGGCAGTTGTAGTTTTCAGACATGATAGCAAACTGAGGTAACTATTGGGTTAAATCAACTGTGACACACAGTACCTCAGAAAGGCACTCTTAACCCCCTATTCATTATTTACATATGGCTGTGATATTTCATAGAACACACAAAGATGGTACATTCACATAACATCTGTTGAAACCCAAATATGCTCTGTGCAAATATGTGTATCATTAGTGCGTATAAAGTTAAGACATTTTACTGAATGGTTGTTACTGAAATATGCTGTATGTTCATTCAGGACACAAGGACCCTGCCCAGGAGAATGCTCCACAGCCATTAATCAGCGGGAGAGTTGTAATCAAGGGATTTGCAATTCAACAACAGTTGCCCAAGTCCACACAATGGGGGTTTACTTGATCACTGTGCCTCAGAAAAGCTCATTGGGACATGTCTGGGCAAGTGTCTCCCATGCCCATGGATTGAGGGTATAAAAATAAGGAACAGTGTCAGCATATTTTTACCTTTTTCCTCCCCCACCTAAACTGAAAGCAGCTGGAGTGCTGGGAAGATGAAGGGCATTTGAGAAGCCTGGGCCAGGTTTAAAGGGAAGCCTGTGTATTAAGAACTGTAACATCCAGTTGGATCTGAAAATATGCTGATCTAAATACTTCCTAATGAAATTAGGGTTCAATTTTAGATTGTGCATTTATCTTTTATTTTTTTTGGTAACTAGCCCTGATCTTCCACGCCGATAACCGGCTTGTTCCGCTCAACCCTGCACCGCCCTCTCCCAGCTTGCTGTGCTTAGCTTCACTACGGCAACAGGAATCAGAGTGCCCTGGCCCCAGGGCGCTCCTGCTTCTCCACAGCCACAGGAAGCGAGCACAGCAAAATGGGAGAGGGCAGCAGGATGGGGCAGAGAGGAGCAGGCTGCCAGGCCACTCCAGCTTCCACCGCCATGGTGAGTGGGGGAGGGGAAACTAGCCCTCTCTGTTGCCCCACACCAGCTCTTCCCCCTCGTCCCTCCCAGTAATCTTGTAGCTTGCATTGCTCAGGGAAGAGGGCTTTGGCAAGGGGGTGGAACAGGGGCAGAGCAGGAGCAGGGCTTGTGGGGAAGAGGAGGAGCAGGAGTGGAGTGGGCAGGGGTGAAGCAGAGGCAGGGCAGGACCCATGGCGGGGGGAGGGGGTTGCCTTGAGCCTCAAGCCTTGGGCAGAGGAAGTACCCCAGGCCCCAAACCCTCCTAGACATTGCCCTAGAGTCACTGATGCTATTTGTACTTTCCTGGGAATTCTCCCATCTAAATAATGTCCCGCCTACCTTACAGCTGACAATACCACAGCTAAGGGAACAGTCTATAGCTAACATACTGTGGAATGGCTGCAGGGAAATATTGTCTCAGTGCGTTCACACAACTATTATTAGCTTTTATCACAATTACTCATGAAGGGGTTATATGTACCCATTAGATAAGGGTATATATCTCGCAGCATATTGTAACAATCTTACAATGTGTAGGACATATTTCAATTTTCTTCTTCTTCTATATTTAAGGGGTTCTAAATTTGAAAATATTTTGGCATCAACTTATTCAAGGAAGTTCAAAACTAGATAAAAGTTGCTATAGTTACTACTGAAAAGTAACAAGTATTTTTCAAACTTCTAACAAATTTACAATGATTTTTAATTTTTTCCAAAAATAAAATTACAGCATGCACTGAAGTCTGCCTAACAAATTACTTGATTGTGTTTTACAGATTTGGCACATATTTTTGTTAAAGGTATTTATTTAACCAGTTAAGCATGTCCTTTCTTGCTTCCTCAATGTAAGGTCTATCTTGAGGGTTCATGTCTTCTCTCTTGCGATGTACAAAACCATGAGTTTGTCCAGGGTAAATTTTAACTCTGTAATCAACTTCACAGTGTTGTTTTAGTTTCTGCTCCAGCAAGGTGACCTGTAACAGAACATCCTTCCATTAGTGACATTGATTTAACCTATTACTTTTACCAATTCTCAGTTTGCCATCATTTAGTTTTCTGAAAGATGTGATGTATCCTCATCTCAGTGCCAATCTCACAGCTGGACCAGACTAGATTAGTTACCCCAATTGTATTTTTAATCTTTTCTTCTAGTAAATGGAGAAAACATAATTGAAATATGGACTGTACAAAGTTACAGAAAATGTGTAGGTACATGGAATAACATCTTTAAAGGTCTCTGCAAAGACACAAACACTTGTTTCCTGATGCGGGGCTTACTATGAGTACAGACAGTCCCCGACTTACAAACGGGTTACATTCTGAACACCCGGTCGTAACTCGATTTGGTTGTAAGTTGGAAATACCCTTAAACGAGCTGCCTACGCTGTTCGAAAAACTTGACGTAGATGGTTCTCAACTCAAAAATATTATAATGGGGTTCATGGGAGGTTGGTCGTAAGTACGGATGGTCGTAAATCGGTGTGTTTATAAGTCAGGGAGTGGTTATAGTGCATTTGGTAACAAGCACTATAGCGAGTAATAAATGGAGACTGCATCGAGCAATGGGACAAAACTGGAATCCCTTTTGAATTTGTGTACTGGAGGATGGGATCTATAGTCTGTAATTCTAATCTGCTCCTGTGACTTTTGATGGAAAAAATAAAACTGGGTGCAAGCCTGAAGCGTGGTTTCCTTTTGGCTCCTTTTGTGGGTACTCAGCTTTCTCGCATTCTGATTCTATAGCCTTTAACAAAAACTAAATCTGTATTTTGCCCAATGTTTTCCAGATTACTGTGCCTATAAATTTGGTTTAGATGGATCTGAAATGTTGCAAGAACACCTTGCAGAATTTTGTTGTTTTTGAATCAGAACCTCAGCCAACCTTAAGACAAGTTACCAACAATGCCATCAGATGATAAACGGGGATAGAACAGGGGGAGGTTAGCAGCGTGAGAAAGGAGGATGGAGGCCCACTCTATTCTACTAGATCCCAGCCCAAAACCCTAACAGTGGTGGATGGTGGATGGTTCAGACACTGAAACAGTGGGGATCCACTAAAACATGCTGACTCATTCTTCAGTAACAAGAACAGACTAAAGTCTAGTTTCTCTAGGCTAGTTCCTATCCTATTCCAGGTGCAAGGATAGTCCAAGGGTACATGTTCATCTTGGGGTACAGCATTGACAGCAGACCTGGCCACCCCTATCCTGGGTTGGTCTCCTCTGGGGAAAGGATGTGGCACAGTGCTGATTCAGCTCTGGAGTTCTGCAGCTGTTTGGAGATGTCTGCCTCCTTTCATGGCTCTAACCCAGCTGAGTGCAAAGCCCTCTTCCCTACTTGCTGCCACCAGGGCCGACTCGAGCCATTCCTGCGTCCCGGGCAGTGGGCACGCGATGCATGCGTGGCTCCGCCCCTGGGCGCATGGTGCATGCGCAGCCCTGCCCCCCAGCATGCTGTACACCTTACAGCTGCAATCGGGCACACGGCGCCTGATGGCAGCTCTAAGGGGTGCCGTGTGGCTGGGTGTGCAGCGCCTCTTACAGCTGCCATCAGGTGCCCCCAATAGGCTGGCACTCTGGGCAGCTGCCCAGCTAGCCCCCCCACCTAATCTGGCCCTGGCTGCCACACCTCTCTGCTTCAGGTGCAAGGGGAGGGGTGGGGATGGTCTGGCTCCACCTAACTAGGGGAGTGTAGTGTATCTGTGAGCTCAGGATCAGAGGGAGGCCATTCTGCCCCACTATAGGGTTCACAGTCAGCCCCTCTGCTTTCTTTATGCACATCTCTCAGCTTGGTCAATGAAACACTGGTTATTTTTCCCTTTCTGGGAAAACTGCAAAATTGCCAGAAATGTCAAGCCTAAAGGGCAGGGGCTCCAGATGAGGAAAACAACTGGGAGGAAACAGAGAATACAAATAAAGAAGGGTAGAGAGAGCTGCCTGCCCTGGTGGAGAGTAATTTCCCTGAAATAAACAGAGAACCTGGAGACTAGACCCTTAAGTGCTATAAATCATTACAGAATCATTGAAGTCATGGGATGGAAAGCCTAGGAGTGAGCTGTCCATCCGCAGCTGTTGACCCCAGTTACACCAGTTCAGGGTGTTGGCCTAATGTGGGTTGTTACCTGTTCCATTTTGATTAAGGATGGTTTCCTCTCCTGAACCTGCTCCATGCCTTCCTTTTGACTCCCTCCATGCCTACTTAGCCCTCTCCTACCAGGGCTCCACTTGTGCTGGGGTGAGGCAACCCCGCCACTACCCCCAACAAGGGGGTCGGGACACCGCAGGGTGGCGCGCGAACACGACCCAGGCAGCGGCAGGACAAGTGCCACCAGACACTCATGGGGAGGGAGCAGGCAAGCGCGGCACGGTAACACAGCAGATGGGTGTTGGGGAGGCGTTTGGGCAATGGCCCCGGCCGGTAACGTTACGTGACGTCACCAGCGCGACAGAAGGGGGCGGGGAGGAAGATCCGGCGAGCCAACCAGTACGCCCGACATCACACACCGGGCAGGACAGTGGGGAAGAGGACAAAAGCGGGAGGGAGAACACAGGCAAAGGGGAGCGCGGGGCAGGCAGCAGGTAATGAGACCAGGGGAACAGACGAGGGGAGAGGGCTCCCCTGAGGGGGGCTGAAAGGGGCCCCGGTGGCCAGGTGGAAGTGGTCCAGGGTGGAGTCGTGGAGCCCGTGAGCAGGTGCATTTAGGGGCAAACCCCCACCTACTACCACTGGGAGCTTGGTTCCCGGTGTTAGGGCCCTGGGCCGGGGTCTAGGAGTGTGGGTGGGCCCTGACCCTCTCCCTGCCACCGGCGGGCGAACTAAGTGCTATGTACGGAGGCAAATGTGCAGCTTCTTGTGGGCTCCGCGGCCAATATGTAGGGGCGGGGCAGGCAACACGAAGTGACCTGGGTGCGAGGGACACGTGAAACAACGGGGTGTAATATCTGAATAAACATCGATACGTGACACCGCTGTTTCACACAACCTATATTAAGAGATGGAAACATTGACATATGCCTTTAGATAATGTTTGTGAGAACAATAACAGGAGTTTCTATGGCCCTCTTTAAGAGGAGAGAAAAGTTCTAATTAATTTTCTAATTTCTCTGAACAAAGTATTTTATGAAATGCATGTTTAAAAAGCAAAGAGGATACAAATGTGTTTGCAGATGAACTTACTTGTTCAAGAGGGATGTAATCATCATTTTCACCAAAAATGAAGAACGTGGGATGGAGCAAACTGTATCTCTCCTCAAAGTACTTAATTACACCTAGAAAAATTAAATACATTTTACATTTTTGCAGTGAGCCAATGTAAAATGGCTAACATTAAATCCAAACATGGATGTTACAGATGGAGACACCAGATCTGAACTTCCTCTCTTCTAACTCTGGGGAAATGAGGTTTTAGATCCAGTGACTTGGCCCAGCACTACAACTGGCTACCGAGCCCTGCGCCGGCAAAAACATACACCTATTTCCTCATCAGTGCAGTTCCACTAATAACTACAATGGACAAGTCTGTGTTGTAGCCAAATACTTTTATCACCATGTTATGAAATCTGGGTTAGATGGCTGTCCTGTTGATTCCTCTGGTGGAGCTGTACTGGAGCTGTACTGATGGTGAACCTGACTTTCTCCACTGTAGATGCACACTACAACACTGAACCCAAAGATCCATGACTTCTAACTCAGGTCTAGTTCAAAATCAATACTAAGCAGCTTAAGTCAATATTTTGTGAGAATAGTATATATTACCTTGAACCTTGGCTGCATTCCTGGTATTTTGCCCCACTGAAAAAACCTATCGTACTAGTTCTGAGACAGACCAAATGGTTGTCACAATTGTGCTGAATGTCATGTGCCTTGATTATCAGTTTGAAATGGTATATGAATCAGCATACTGTAGCAGACTATAAAAAGTGTATTTCACTTTTTTCTGTTATGAAAGCTTCATAGATTGAGAGCTACACATGTACATAGAAATGCATCGTTATATATACACACATCTATTATTTCAATTTTGATGCAAATCACTAAGAAATTCGTATAATGTTTTTATTTTACTGTTTATTCACATTTGTATAATGCTAAAAATACATAGAAAAAGCTCCAGCTACTCTGACAAATAATTAAACATATATTCACAGGGAACAAAAATGAATCATGAGGAAATAATTAATTAACAGCAAATCAGGACTCTCAGGAAGTTCCCCCAACTCTTCCCATAATCCACAGCACATAAATGTAAATTATTATATATAGCCATATTTAAACTACATGCTATATTTATATATGTAAGTCTGCTCAAGTTTACATGCATTATAAACTTACCATAGATTGCCACTCCAGTTTTTAATTCAGGATTTTTCAGCATCAAATGATGTACAGCCATTCCGCCCCAGCAAAATCCAATAACACCAATCTTCTTTGCATTGCACTGCTCCTTTAAATACTTTAAGACAACATCAGCTTCCCTAACTCATATAAAGAAAGACAAAGTAAGGAATCCAGTAGCACTCCCTGGAAAACTGGAAAGAAAATACAGTTGGCTTATACAATAGTAATTTCTAATTTTCTTTAACTTTGTAGTATGTTCTTGTAATACAACACTTCCAGAAATTAAACTTCAGTTTTGAAAAATGAGTTGGCAATTATAAATCCATCATTAAAATACATGAATATTTAATGGAGTTAAAACAACTTAGAGAAGAAAACAGCATAACACATGAGTAACATACTGAATGTGTAATGAGTTGAGGCTAGAACAATCTTTTATTTTACATGTATTGGTGGTTAGAATTTAAATTGATTCTATAACTACAAATACAAAGTTGGACAAAGGACTACACTTCTTATTAAGTAACACTGACAACATTTAAGTGAAGCCCTTTCAAGTGAACATCATATATGATCAAATTATTAAAAATGATAGTAAATGCTTCATGAAGTCAATCAAACAAATTTGAAGGTGCTGAAATTCAGCAGTGAAATAACAGGTTAAATGGTGAAGTGTAGTTAGGTGTATAAACAGTAAAAAAAAACAAGTTTATGTGAAAAAGTACTGTAGTCTAACTCACACTGCCTTTGTGGATGTGCAATACAAATGTAAGTTACACCAGTTTGGTAGTCTTTGGTGGCTAAATTTGCATCTTACAATTTACAGCAGGGTAAACTAGTACCCTAGGAAGCATAAGGGTAGAGTGACCTAAATTAAAGTAGAAGGAGCCTGCTTTATTTCAGTGCCTTGTGATAGGGTCCATCCCCCCCGCCCTCTTTCAGTAGCACCAACTCCTGTCTCGACATATATAAATTATAGCTATTTTGCACAACTGCTGAATGTCACTAATTGTCCATTGACACCACTATTTGCATCACTACTAATCTGACCCACAGATTTCAATGGGACTTGTGCTTTCTTAGTCCAGACTGCATCTGGTCTATTTTATTTTAGAACTTGATCCTGGAGTCCTTACTCGGGCAAAACTCTTGTCAATAGAGAGCTGCATATACATGCAGTTTACAAAATCTTACCTTTCCACCTTGCTGGCATCTCGAGTTTTCAGCCAGTCAGTAAAAGTGGACCAATCATCAGAAGGTTCCCAAGGTTTTTGTCCCACAAAGAAGTCTGGACAGATGGCTCTATATGAAAAAGTAAAACAATTTATGTCCTTGGAACAGCAATAAAGAATAATTAAGAGACCATCTGTGAATTTTAATGTGCATTTTGAATCTAATAAAATGACGTGACAGAACCTCAAGAGCATGGCAGTTTATTTTGACCTGTTAGGCTTTGTTAATTAAGGAATGTGATAAGCTATTAACTGCACTGAAAATACCTGAGCATTAATTATTAATTTTGCAGCTATTCTGTAATTTAAAAAAATATAAATATTAACCTAGTACTCTCAAAATGACTATCCATGTTTACTGTATTTCTGAATACACTACTCTTGGAGCGTGTCTCCACTGAGGAGCTATTTCAAAACAACAAGGTGAGCATCCACACAAGCCCATTATTTCAAAATTATTTCAAAATAATGGGCTTGTTGTTTCAAATAACCCCTGCTTCTGATGTTTACTCATAGCCTCCCCCCTTCCCTCTGCCCCCAGGGGCCATTGAGGCCAATGAACACATGGCAGTGAGACTTCCTGGGCACCTAAGTGTCCCGAGGAACCCGAGCCAGTCCCAGCCCCATCCCTGAGCCCCTCCTTCCCCTTCCTCCTTCTTCCCACTCCCACGTTCTTTTCCCAGTCCCTCCGCAGTTGTACATTCCTCAAATAAAAATAACAAAGTTTTGTTTTCAAGCAAATAAGGCTTCTTTATTTGGTTTTCAGGAGAGGGGGAGGAGATGAGAAGGAAGGGCAGGGGAAGGGAGGGGTGAGGGAGGCAAGGCACACGGGGCAATGCAGAAGCCCCTTGTGGGGAGGCTCTGGTGAGAGTTTCATAGGTGAGAGTCTATTTAATTTTTGGCTTAGCATCTTTGACAATCTCTCTTTAGGAAGAAAACATTAAGATTGCTTACATGTATCCATTAGCTGCCAGCATGTCAACTATGTATCTGGTATTTGGGAGTTGCCATCCAAATATATCTTGACTCACAATCACAGCTTTTTCCATGCTTGCGGATGGTTTGCAAACATATGCCTTGATGTGCTCAACTTGCACTTCCTGCCCAAGGCCCCCATACTCAAACCTGTCTCCAATGTCACATGGGCAAGGTCTCGCTTCATTGGCCATCTGGGATACAAATGTGGAAAGAACAAAAAATATTAAACTATTAATATTTAAGTTTACATGCATAAAAAGTCTGAATGTAATGTAGTGATGGCATTGTGACTTATGGAATCTTAGACATGTGATGTTATTGGATTTTAGCAGAACATTGTTGTGTGTTTACCCTAAATTTTGTACAATGTGGACAAAGCGAGATGTCAATTGAAAGCTTATGCTTTGCAGATTCTATTTATACTGCTCATGTGCCTGTATGATTTTTTATTTAAAGTTATGAGTATTGGCTCTGTATTTATACTTCAAATATTTGCTTCTGGGAGATATCAACAAGTGAAAGGGGGGGCTACCCAAGTGAATAGCAGTACTTCACTGACAATGAACCTTAAGTGTTTCCAGTATGCCTCTGAGGAATTTTGCTGTAAAGCTGCAGTCAAACAGGTAGGCAGTGGTGGCATGCTTAAAAAAGACATGGACAGGTAACTTGCTCATGTGACAAACTCCATTTGGGGAGGTATTTTCACACCCTGAGAACAATGGAATTCCCTCCCCATGGGGAAGGTTGCAAAACGGACCCAAAAGGTTCCTCCAAGTGTCTTCACCCCAGCTCATCACTTCAGAAGCATCTCAGCTATGAATTGGGCCCAGAAGGACTAATGCCCCATCCTAACAAAGAATGCATTCCAAAGACTTTTAAGATAGCAGTTTGTTCCGTCTCAGCTACAAGCCTGCACCAGGAACTTTGTGATTGGCGTATGCAATTTTGTTTCCTTTAACAATTTTACTCCCAATTTATTCTTTCTTCCTTTTTATTAATAAACCTTTAGATTTTAAATTCTAAAGGAATGGCACTGTGTGCTCTTTTGAGTAAGATCTGAGGTATAAATTGACCTGGGAATGTGACTGGTCCTTTGGGATCGGAAGGATGTTGGCACTGGTGACACTGGTGTTCATAACCTCTCATCTGTGTAAGGAGGGGTACTGGTTTTGGCACAGGAAAAGCTAGAGTGCCTAAGAGGGTTGCTTGTGTGACTTCTTGCTGCTCGGTATGGCAGCTGAAGTGCTCTTTGTGACTAGTTTGGTGCCTTATAGTGTAGGACAGTACACTAATCTTGGGCTGTAAATAGCCCTGTTTCTGAGTAATTCGCCCTGATTTGACCTCTCAGCAGTGCCCCCAGAACCCACCATATTACCGCATGCCTTCTAATACTTGCCAAACAGTAGCGTTTTTGCTGTATTTCACAGACAGCTTTAATCTGGTTACTTAGTCTGTATGTTCTTGGGGACAGGGACCCAGCTTTTTAATTTGTGTTTGCCAGCATCTAGCTTAATGTAGTCCTGGTCCATGATTACTATTCTTATGTATTATGGTAATATAAGTAATAAAACAATGAAAAAAAGTTAGGAGTAATACCTCCCTAGATAAGATCATAGAATCATAGCACCATAGAGCTGGAAGAGACCTTAGAAGGCCATCAAGTCCAGCCCCCTTCCCAAGGCAGAACCAATTAAATCAACCCAGCCTGGGCTTTGTCAAGCCGAGACTTAAACACCTCTAGGGATGGAGACTCCACTACTTCCCTAGGTAACCCATTCCAGTGCTTCACTATCCTCCTAGTGAAATAGTTTTTCCTAATATCCAACCTGGACCTCTCCCACCACAACTTGAGACCATTGCTCCTTGTTCTGCCATCTGTCACTACTGAGAACAGCCTCTCTCTCCAGCCAAGACCTCCCCCACTGCAACTTGAGACCATTGCTCCTTGTTCTGACATCTACCACCCTGAGAACAGCCTCTCTCCATCCTCTTTGGAACCTCCCTTCAGGAAGTTGAAGGCTGCTCTCAAATCCCCCCTCACTCTTCTCTTCTGCAGACTAAATAAGCCCAAATTCCCCCAGCCTCTGCTCATAAATCATGCGCTCCAGCCCCCTAATCATTTTGGTTGCCCTCTAATGGACCTTCTCCAATGTGTCCACATCCTTTCTGTAATGGAGGGCCCAGAACTGGACACAATACTCCAGATGTGGCCTCACTAGTGCTGAATAAAGGGGAATAATCACTTCTCTAGATCTGCTGGCAATGCTCCTCCTAATGCACCCTACTATGCCATTAGCCTTCTTGGCTACAAGGGCGCCCTGTTGTCTCATATCCAGCTTCTCATCCACTGGTATCCCCAGGTCCTTTTCTGCAGAACTGCTGCTTAAGCAGTTGGTCCCCAGCCTGTAACAATGCTTGGGATTCTTCCATCCAAGTGCAAGACTCTGCACTTGTGCTTGCTGAACCTCATCAGATTTCTTTTGGCCCAATCCTCCAATTTGTTTAAGTCACACTGGGCCCTATCCCTTACCTGTAACGTATCTACCTCTCCCCCTAGCTTAGTGTCATCCACAAACTAGCTGAGGGTTCAATCCATGCCCTCATCCAGGTCATTAATAAAGATGTTGAACAAAACCGGTCCCAGAACTGAACCTTGGAGCACTACGCTAAAAACCGACTGCCATCCTGACATCGAGCCATTGATCACTACCTGCTGGGCCCAACCTTCCAGCCAACTTTCTATCCATCTTACCGTCCATTTATCCAATCCACATTCCCATAATTTGCTGGCAAGAATATTGTGGGAGACCATATCAAAAGCCTTGCTAAAGTCAAGGTATATCACATCCACTGACTTCCCCATATCCACAGAGCCAGTTACCTCATCATAGAAGCTAATCAGATTGGTCAGGCATGTCTTGCCCTTCATGAATCCATGCTGACTATTCCTGATCACTTTCCCCTCTTCCAAGTGCTTCAAAATTGATTCCTTGATGGTCCTCTCCATGATTTTTCCAGGGACTGAGGTAAGACTGACTGGCCTATAGTCCCCTGGATCGTCTTTCTTAAAGATGGGCACTACATTTGACTTCTTCCAGTCATCTGGGATCTCTCCTGATCTCCACGACTTTTCAAAGATAATGGCCAAAGGCTCCTCAATGACATTTGCCAACTCCCTCAGTATCCTTGGATGTATTAAGTCCGGGCCCATAGATGTATGTACGTTTAGCTTTTCTAAATAGTTCCTAAACTGTTCTTTCCCCACCAAGGACTGTCCACCTTCATTCCATATTACGTCACTTAGCACATTAGTCTGGGAGCTGACCTTGTCTGTGAAGACAGAGGCAAGGAAAGCATTGAGTACTTCAGCTTTCCCCACATCATCTGTCACTAGGTTATCGCCCTCATCCAGTAGGGACCCCACACCCTCTCTGATCACCTTCTTCTTGCTAACATGCCTGTAGAAACCTTTCTTGTTATCCTTCACATCCCTTGAGAGTTGCAATTCCAGTTGCACTTTTGCCTTCCTCATAACTCCCCTGCATTCTCGAGCTATACATTTATACCCCTCTCTAGTCATCTGTCCAAGTTTCCACTTTTTGTAAGCTTCCTTTTTGTGCTTAAGTCTACCAAGGATTTCCCTGGTAAGCCAATCTGGTCTCCTACCATACTTGCTTCTCTTGCTATGCATTGGAATGGTTTCTTTCTGTGCCTTCAGTAAGGCTTCTTTAAAATACTGCCTGCTTTCCTGGGCCCCTTTTCCCTTCATGTTAGCATCCCAGGGGATTCTGCCCATCAGGTCTCTGAGGGAGTCAAAGTCTGCTTTTCTGAAGTCCAAGGTGTGTATTTTACTACGCTCTTTTCTTCCTTTGGTCAGGATCCTGAAATCTCATGATCACTGCTTCCCAGGTTGTCACCCACCTCTACTTCCCCTATTAGTTCCTCCCTGTTTGTGAGCAGCAGGTCAAGGTGCACACAGGCCCTGGTTGGATCCTGCAACACTTGTACCAAGAAGTTATCCCCAACAGTCTCCAAAAATTTCCTGGATTGCCTGTGTACTGCCATATTGGTCTCCCAACAGATGTCAGGGTGATTAAAGTCCCCCATGAGAATCAGGGCCTGCAATCTGGAAACTTCTCTCAGTTGTCTGAAGATAGCCTCATCCACCTGATTCGGTGGCCTGTAGCAGACACCAACCACAACATCGCTGCTGTAGCTTACACCTCTAAACTTGACCCACAGACTCTCAACAGGCTTTTCTCCCTCTATATACTGCAGTTCTGAGCAATCACAGTGCTCTCTTACATATAGATCATCACACAAGGCTGTTGTTGGGATGAAGGGCTCCCCCTCCCCCCATTCTTATCTTTTCTGTGATATACTCAGTAACTCCTGGATCAATATGAAGTTTAGATATGTGACAGTCCTTTGGAAGTGAAAGTTATGACCAAGTAAAGATACAGAAACAGTTTTGATTAAACTTGAGACATTTTTATGGCCAAAGTTAATGTTTCTGTATGTTAAGCTTTCTGTAACAGGTCCTTTCAGTATAAAGAATTTCCACAGTTAAAGTAACTTGAGCCCCAAGTGTTACAGGTACTTGAAGAAAGGTGTTTATTTTATACAAGGACTATGATCAACAAGAACTTATCTAACAAGTAATTCACAGACTTTTTATGAGGGATTTGTTAAGTACTATAGAAGTGATATATTCTGCCAGTATGGTAAAAATCTCATGTGAAGTGAAAATCTTTGAGGTGAACAAAACTGTTAGAAGAAGAAAGTGGCTGCAAGGCTTGGTTAACAGCTGATTAGTGATTATATAGAGAGAAGTCAAGTGACTGGAACAGAGTAGAGATAACAGAGCTGATACAAGGTGTGTACAGCTGATTTATCTTATGTCTTTAAGTAAATTGCTACAGTCTACTAGTGTCAGACCAATCAAGTTGCTTTATATTGCTGCAGACTGTTTCAAGTGATCCATATAAATCACTGTGTTAAGGACTAAATAGTTTACAAACTATTAAACAATGTGGCTATTCTGTATGTACTTTAAAATGGACATGTGCTAAAAGCCTAAGAGCACTGACAAAGAACAGATCACCTGACACAGAAACGCTATGTAAAGTTGACTACACTAAATACGCTCATGGAAACCATCCTATGGAGGCTGGTTGCTGGCCATGGTCTGGTAAAGATGACCTAAATAGTTGTCTGACGAAATGCAAAACTGAAGGGGAAAAAAGTCTGCATACATATATGACCAGATGATTTACACAAATTGGTGTGATCCAAGAGGTTTTGTACCTATGGACTTAAAGTCTGGTAACACAAACCACAAGCCGCAAAAAACTGCAAGAGTAAAAAAACCAGAAAATTTCTTCTGTCTTTGGATGGTGAGAAGCCACCAGCTTGTACTCTGATCAGCCACTTCAAAACTTAATAAGAGGTATCAACTGAATGTGGTTTGATTCACATCAGCTTTCAAATAGAGGACTTCATTGGACTAACTCAACTCTTTATCAGAAGCATGCATCACTTTCTGATTAACCTGCATTAGTTTTGCTAAGAAAAACCAGGCCCCGTTTCCCACAGATATATATATGTAGTGTAATGCCATCAGATCTTTGTTTCCAAACTGAAAAATCTAGACAAGAGGGACTATAAAAATAACTTCATTAGTATTCCAGTAATCTAGTCTCAACTAAAGTTGTTTTATAGACAAGCAACCTTTTCATGCTGTTCTTGAAGTGAACATTCAGGGGGGAAAGAAACAGATGCCATAAGGTCTTGGGGGCAAACTACCTGAACTAAATTTTCCATTTGTCTCAAGAAATTGGACATTGCAATTATCAAGCTGAGCTGGAGAACTCACCTTCACACCAGTTGTAAATGGTAAACAGCAAAATTTCAATAATATATGTACCCAAAGGAAGACTTGATTATTTTCAAGCTAAATGCATCTCAAAATTGCAGAAAGTTAAAAACTTAGTGCAGATGGCTTAAGTCTATAACATACTGTATTTCACTAACAAGTTCTATCTTAGATGTATAAAAATAATGCTACATCAACAAGTAATTGAGAGATCTGTGGGCTAGAAAAATAAATTACACTAACTCAGCCTAGCACTGTTTCTAACAAGAAACTCTGCTTGCTTAAAGCAAAAGATAACCGAGAGAACCCGTTAGTGTCTAAAACTATCAGCCTAGAAGTGATAAACAGTTTATGATCAGAAGAAACATGCAGCTCTCTAACATAATATTACTTCAGTTATTTTGTTTGAATTAAAAGGCACTAGTGGCCAAATTTTTAAATATATTTAAGCACCAAAAGATTCAGGTAAGTACCTCAGTAGATTTTCAGAAGAGTCCAGGCACCTAAGTCCCACTGAAAGGTTCTTAAGTGCCTACATCAGTTTTTAAAATGGGACTTACCCATCTAAGTTACTTTGGCTTTGTAATCCTGAGTGGAGCAATACCTCAATACTGTTAAAATTTTAGGCCTCAGAGTGATATGTAGTCATCCTCCACCATTATATTGAAAACAGAGTTGAACAGGGTCAATATCTTGTGAAATTAGGATAGTTTACATCATTATCTGCATTTTGTATTTGTGGCTTAGTGCATGAATGAAGGTTATGATTGCCTTGAGAGGCAATTTTAAGTTAAGTTCACATTTTAGTAATTAACTGTTTGCAGTTCTAAATTCTAACCTTAGATAATGCTTGGCAACAGCAATACCATAATTTGATTAGTAGGGATCTATTCTGAAGCATCCATTATTCAATGCTGATACCAAAATCACCTTTCCAGAATAGTTCATGGCTGGTCTACTTTCACCTGTGTAATATCACTTTCTGATAATGACTTTCATTAACTGATCTGATTGACTAGCACTTGACTAGCAGTGCTGTTGTTGTTATGTCTGAGGATATTAAAGAGTCAAGGTGCTTGAGGTAACATCTTTTATTGGACCAAATTATGTTGGTGAAAGAGACAAGCCTTCATGCTTACTCAGAGCTGAGACCTGAAGAAAAACTCTGTAAGCACAGAAGTTGGGACTCATACAGCTCAATTCCATTATATTAATACATTAACTGGTATCAGTCAATGCATTTGATATTTACTAGTTAATGTCTTACATATCAAATTTTGTTTTCTACACTAAGGTTTTATTAAATACCCTAGTGAACCATTTACAATACCTTTTAGCCTAGTGAAGGCATACTTTAAGCGTGACAAGAGACAAATACCATATGTTAAATCACACATCCCTACCATCCTTATATCTTTCTACATCATCAAGGAAAAAAGAGTTCCAGAATGAGTTTGTGAGGACCAAAATTAATTCAGGATTTCTTTAGTTTTGGGTTGGGGGAGTGTTTTTTTGCTTTTGTTTTTTTCTGAATCACTGAAAAAGTTGTCCCTGTTCCACAGTATCTTCTAAAATACAACTGAAACCACATTCAATATATTAGATATATATAAATCAACTGCAAGCGAAAAACAGAGCAAAGCCTACACAAAACCTTTTTCATCTGAAATATCTCAATCTGTTTCATTTCCCTGTGTCATAGTGTTGCAGTTCTCCAAGTTTGCTCTTTTTAAAATTATTAATCATATGCACTTTGAAACTTTTCCTTCCACTTATAGTTGTAGATTAAATACTAACCTTTGGTATCTTGTGCTTGGCCAAACAGTTGATTCAGTTCTGTTGTTAAAAGCACAGCAATTCCTTTCTTAGAGGGGGATTTATTTAAAACTCTGTCCAACTTCAGGAAGACTGAATGAGTCCTGGCAATTAAGTTGTTTGTCATTTGTGCTGAACCTGGACTTGTATTGCCAGATCTTAGTTAATGAATCACAATTTTATCTGCAATACTTAACAATGTTGCATATTCAGTTATTTTATCTTTTCATTTCAAAGGCTGTTCCAATTCTAGGTTTTTTGCTTAGTAACAAGACTGATAGATTCTGTATTAAGTGTATAATAAAATCACCAATTCTCCTAAATATATGGATTGTTTTTATTTACTTTGGTGTAACTCCATTTAATTGAGGGGAACTGCTTCTGATTTATACATAACTGAAAGCAAAATAAGACTAATAGAGATCTATCTTTTTCCCTCCTGAATAAAAATGTGTGGGAGTGCTGCCCATATATCCTTGCTATACAACATACAGATGCATTACGACACTATCTGTAGCTTGTACCATTTCCCGTATAGGAAAAAGCAGTGAGCATTTTCTGAAGGCTTGTAGAGAGGTCTACAATCCTCAGTGTGGGAAAGGTCCCACTGCACATACTAGCAGTAAGTATAGAATGTTTCTGAGCAAACATGGAGGGGGCAACTGAGGCAGGAAGTTCTCTTACCAACTTCACTGGCTTCTCTCGATGGCGGTGACACATCAAATTCAAACTCCCCTCCAAGGCCACAAGCCAACACGAGCTGTACTAGGGATGGACCTGGCATCCTACCTCATGCAATCTCTGTCATGGTCTTTTTTCAAGCCCAGTTCCTCACCTTTCCAATTAGAATGAAAGAAAACAGACCCTGGAAGAAAGATACTATGACACTCCACAGCCTGTGGGTGCACCAATATTCATAATTTGAATATACATTTGATATTGCATATAAAGAATGCCATGTAAGGTACCATGGAAAAGGTTATGATCTGCTGAAACTCATTCTTCCATCTAAATATGTACATCTTCAATGCCTATGAAACTAAGAATTGTGTTGTATGGTTGTCACTAAAATATTCTATGGGTTTGGGAAGCATCCAGATACTAGGTTTCCAAAGATAATAACCAGCAGGAAAACCATAACCCAAGAGGGTATCGAACAACCATTAACAGCCATTGTCCAATGAGGGAGTTACAATTCACTGACTCATTTTCACAAGGTCACACACAGTCACTCAAACAAAACATTTCTTTATTATTTTGAAATGATACTAAAACATTAACATATAATTATTTGATGCTGTATGCTTATACTCAGAGGCTCCATTAGGAAGAAGTTATTTTATTTTACTATATAATTCTTTTCTCAGTAAGATATCCACTGACAGAAATGGAAAACAGTGCATTAAATTACAATAAGGTAGATAATAGTATAAAGTTTATTTTTAATAGCAACCATAGTGCACAATAGCACAGTAAGAAGTTCCCTCACTCATTATTATAATATCAATGTAAATGTTTAACCTGTGGTAAATGTAGGCCAAGAAGCAGCCAGGAGTCTCATGGAGAAAGACCCAAGGTCATCTGAAAAAGTAATTGACTGTTGTTACCCAATCCACCCCCAAAATTGAGAGCAAATGTATTCCACTGATGACATCTGTGAAATCCAAACTGGACAAAGAAGTCTGTTCTAAGGTTTGGATTCAGCAAAGAATCTATGAATGTGCTTAAATCAGGCATTAGTGATTCAAGCACGTTTATATACTTTGCTGAATTGGACCACAATGCAAAATTAATCGTAAGTAACCAAACATGCGAAGAGCATAAATCTCAAGAAACTTGGAGACATTTCCCCAGCGCATTATAACAATATTAATCTAAATTAAATCTGAGAATGGTTTAAAAAATCAGCTTGAAATGATGTGTTTAAAACTACAAATGAAAAGTACAGTTCATTTTAGTATCCGTCTCTGTGAAATTGTCAAATTTCTAATAATATGGTCCTTATGTGTTCTCTAACATATAATTTATCAAATATATATTTAGCCCTAAAATAATTATAGCAAATACTTTCCCCCTTAAAGTATAATTTAATCAAGTGATTATCACAGTATATTAGGTGATTTTGTTTTACAGATCTGACTGTATATTTCTGTTAAATATATTTATTTAGCCAGCTGATCATGTTCTTTCTTGCTTCTTCAATGTAAGGTTTATCTTCAGGATTAATATCTTCTCTCTTGCGATGTACAAAACCATGAGTTTGTCCAGGGTAAATTTTAACTCTGTAATCAACTTTACAATGTTGTTTCAGTTGCTGCTCCAGTAGGGTGACCTGTAGCACAGAACATTCTTCTGTAAGAGATACTGATTTAACTTATTCTATCTTGCCAGGTCTCCTCTTACCAACTATTTGACTGAAAGATGTGAAGTATCCTCAGCCTGGTGCCTTTTCTACTAATTTCACACTCAAACCAACCTAGAGAAGAAAACTTTTTCTAAAATATGATTCTGTAAAATTATACTGTGACACTGTATACCCAACCAACCTATTTATGTCCAATAACAACTTAACAGACAACATTACAACATTACAATTGTAATCAAGACAATTTACTTGTTTATGAATTTCAATGAGATTTACTAGACTAGCAATCATTAATCCATTCATTGGTAGTACTAGAGCAGGCATGTCCAAAGTCTGGCCCGCGGGCCAATTGCGGCCCGTGTTCCGGTTTAATATGGCCCCCGCTTCCTCCCCCTCTCCTGGCTCCCCGGCGCTCTTTTGAACTGGCGCGCTCAGCGCGCCGCTTCCGGCTGCGCCGCCGCCCATGGCCTCCACAGTCCTAGAGCTTGCCCTGTAGGGCACGTCCGCAGCCCCGCTCGGCTGCAGGTTCGCCCTGCCCCCGGGCTGCCGTGAAGCCGGCATGCCCTGCGCTCTCCGCCCGCCTCCGACCCCGCGGGCCCTCCTCCGCCTTGGGGCTGAGAGTGCGGGGACGGCCCTCACGCATGTTCACTTCTTCAAATCTGGCCCTCTTTGAAAAAAGTTTGGACACCCCTGTACTAGAGAGTAAGGGTTCATGCTCAGTTTACCAATATCCTTTTAGAAATTTAACAAATGTAAGCAAATTACTTTGTAGATGTTAATTTCCTGTCATGTCTTAATTGCCTCATATTTTGTACACAAATAGTAGTTAACCTTAATATCAACAACGTAAGATACTGCAGGAAACTAATAGTATTATTCTACAGTGCCTTCATCTTAATTATCTGTGTTACAACAAATGACTAGCTACTTTCTTATAGTGTAATCTGCTTACACACAGGAAATAAAAAATTAACTTCAAAGCAAATGTCTACAAACTATCCATATTGTCTCTTCTTTCTTAAATAGACCTAAGAAGACAGGATCAGGCCCAGGACTCCCTAGCAGGCTGACAAGCCTCCTCACAGAAATTGTCATTCATGAAAGTTTCAGAACCTACTAAACTCCAGAATTAACTAAGTGTGATATGTAACCATAAAGAGGTGAAGTGGTTCTATTCTGGCACCGGGGGGATTAATTCATTCTGTCAGACACAACTAGTCCTATTCCTTCCCCCTTGTAAGAAGTGTGGAAATGGAAAAGCAAGTAGAAGGGCAGGGCCTGGCAGTTCAGTGGGGATTAGATGTAATGTGTTTTTTTATGGCTGTGAATTTGGTAGGGCCCTACACATAAATATTCAAAGATAATGATGTAATCAGGCAAGGGCTCATTGCTTTATGAAGCACCTATATATTGCTGGACAGCTTAGAGTTGTCTACAAAATAGTTTCATGAGAGGTAATTTTTTTTTAAGTCTTACTGTTTCCAAACAAACACCCTTACATTCAATAACCCTAACTGGAAAGTGAAGCATACAAAAGCTAGGAAATGTCAGATGTACGGTCGCCTGTGCAACTTACAACTCTACCACCTATACGTATTGACCACAATACAGTTTTTAATTAGATGAACACATACTGTTTTTTTCCACAAGACCTCAGTCTCTTTCAGCACATGGCCTTGATGGTGATAAGGCTGGGGAAAAATACTGCATCAGTCACTACCAAAGCTATGTGTAGTAAATGAGACTGGGGCCCACTGAACACAAATGTCAAATACATCTACAAAATCCCAGCCCCCAATCACTGTCACCAAACATCATTCACCCAGATGTCTGCATCTCAGTCCCTATTCCTAGGGAAGGCCTGGGAAAACAGCTGAGCCCTGCAATATCATGACTGTCACCTAAATCCAAGCTTTGGTGGACCAAGATGGGAAGTGAGTTCCTTAGCCAGTAAGTCTACTCAGAGAAGGCTTCACTCCCGGTTACAGCAAAGGGACAGCCTGAGCAACCCCAAAGGGTCAAAACTGCTATGACATCTCAAGGGAGGGGTGTGATTTGGGGAAAAGCTGTTGACTTGCGTCACTAATACCAATTCTGAGGGGAAACAGGAAGAACTTTTAAAATACCATTTCTTGTTTTGGTCTTGGTTTTTTGGTCCTTCACTCATCTTAGACAATGAAAACAGAGCTAGTCAACTTCCAGTTTCTTCTCTCACTCTTTGTTTCTCATACAGTACCACTAGGCTATTCTGTGTTTCAGGTCTCAAGGCTGATGGGATGGGTTACAGTCTGAAAATAAAAAAAACTTACAGCAGAGGTTTCACTTAGAAAGCAACTTACTTGGTCAAGAGGAATGACATTGTCTTTTTCGCCAAAAATGAAAAACGTCGGGTTCAGTAATTTGTATCTATCATCAGAATCCCTGATTATTCCTAGGAAATATTTTTTAAAGTGTTTAAAATGATACAAATCTCAAGGTGAAATCTATATTCAAGCACAAAAATTTTCTTTGCTTTAGCAATAGTAATTTGTGTTTCATATTCAAATGTTTTTGCACTGAACACTAGGTATACATCAACTTTAAAATCACACAATTTATATCATAGCTAAAAACTCCATTGAGACACTCAGACTAAATCCCCTCAGAACTAAACCCTCAAGCAAAAAACTGAATATTTGAATTAATAAAATTTGCAAGCTATCCTGCATGTCAATAGGCTATTTTGGACCAATGGGGGAACCAAATTCTAGAACAGGGATAGCCAACCCATTTAACAAAGAGAGCCAAAACAGCAGCAGAAAAAAATGCGAAAAGCCGCATCAGAATTGTCAAGGAAAAAAAAGCCCTCCAAAACAGAATTGTCGAGCAAAAACAAAACAAAATTTTTTTTAAAGGAGGCTGCCTCTTTAAGATGGCCACCATCTTGGGCGCCATTTTTAAAACCCTGCAGCGCTGACCAGGTAAGCACAAGGAAGCCGGGGAGGAACCGGGGGGGCCATTTGGGGGGGCGCAGGAGCGGCTTTGCAAGCCGCACTTTTGGGGGGCAAGACCTGCAGGTTGGCCACGGCTGTTCTAGAGTAAACAGTCCAAGAATTACAATCTGGGACTTTTAGCAAGGATAACTCAGCTGATCTCAGCTTTTGTAATTGAGCGTAAGGAGAAAAGTAGGTCCATATCTGAAAGGAAATATTACAACTTCTTTGCCAACTCAAGATGAAACAAAGCATTCTTGGCCACCACAGTCAGACCTATCACTCATCTGTAAGTGAGCATGATTGCATACCCACACACTCTGCACTTACCATAGACAGACACACCTGCCTTTAACTCAGGATATTTCATCATCAGGTGATGTACAACAATTCCACCCCAGCAAAACCCAACAACACCGATCTTCTTTGTGCTGCATTGCTGCTTTAGATAGTTCAAGACAACATCAGCTTCCCTTTAACATATAAACAAAAAAGAACTAAGGAATCCATAGTAGAAACAGTCCCTGAAAATACAAAAGTACACAAAACTGTCCCTGCTTTTCTCATACAGTGTTTTTAACTTATATATGCATTTTGTTTAGATTTTCCAGCCTGGGATTGGAGTTGATAATCTAAAATGCAGGCTGGCAACCATAACCCAAGTTTACAATAGAGACTGGAACTAATTCATCCAGAAGTAGGCAAATGAGAGGGAGACCTGAATAACACACAATGGAAAGAAATAAAAATGTGGGGAAATGGTCATTTATTATGCTACAGATCTCGGAGGCTTAAGAATTAAAATTTATTTGGGAAGGTGGCTCAATTCTTATCTTGTATATTAGAATTTTTATAAGTGAGAGAGCAGTTTCTTTCTAAGTTCCCTCCATGCTGCGTGCCCACCTAGCGGGCTTCAGGTGTCCTCCCCTCACTGCTGCATCGCTCCTGCCCTCTGCCTTGGAGTTCTTGGCCAGCTGCTCCTGGGAGCCTTCCTGCTTGATGTGCAGAGCAGGAGTGGAGGAGGGAGCACTAATGTTAGGGTGTTTGTCCCCCGCCCCCAACACCCAGTACCCGAGCTCCACAGCAGTGGTCCCCAATGCGGTGCCCAAGGGTGCCCGCTGGGGCATTTATGTGCACTCGCTGAGTGATCAGCGCTGGCCCAAGCCATTCTTGCGCCCCGGGCCCCAGGAGCGCAGCGCATGTGCGGTGCCAGCCCTGGGCGCATGGCACATGCACGGCCCTGCCCCCCGGACACGCGGCGCATGCACAGCCCCGCCCCAGGTGTGCGGCGCATGTGCAGCCCCACCCCCGGCACGTGGTGAATGAGCGGCCACGCCCCCGGGCACCCAGCAGCCCCAAAAGGTTGGGGATCACTACTCCACAGATTGGGTAAGGGGGATGTGACAGGGCTTAGGAGTGGGACCCACCGAGCAGGCTTCAGATCAGTGAGTGTCCATCTACTTAAAAGGGCAGTGTACTTAAAGGAGCAAGCTGTCTCTCTCACCTCCCCCTTACCCTGGTGTCTCTCTCTCTCTGACCCAGGCCCATTCAGAAAAGCTGGGCTGGGGGCGGGCTATGGCTCCTGATGAGGTGGCGGGGGCAGTGCTGCCTGGCAGTGCTCTGGGGGAGAGGGGCGCACAGCTCAATGAATTAGCGGGAGGGAGCAGGATGTGCGTAGGGAGGGAGGAAGTAGGGTAGGGTGTATGTGGGGATGGGCAGAGTGGTAAGGGGGAATGGCGGTGGTGAGGGGACATATAGGAATAGAGTCGGGGGATGGGCAGTGTGGGGAGGTGTTAGGGAAGGATGGGGGTGTAGGAATGGAGGCAGGGGGATCAAATTCAAGTACAAGTTGATGCGGGCAGAAGAACCAGGGCTGACCCAGCCTTGGCCCAACGGCGTAGGGGGAGGGGGCAGGCTGGGGCTATCAAACCTCAGCCCAGCCCTCCCCGAAGGCCAGGAGGAGAGACAGGGCTGCCTATGCAGAGAAAGGGGGGTTGGCGAGAATAGTGAGCAGGGGCACAGCCCATTACTGGTATTTTTAAAAATATTTTATATCTAGGTTTTTTGTTTCTACTGGGAAACACATCAGCTCAATATAGTGCATATAACAAAATTCATTTTGAGTGTAGATGGAAAAAATTAGAAGGGACATTAGTCTCCATTGAATGCCATTAACTAAATAATTATTAAACTGATAGTAACTGTAATTTAGCTCTGACACAAAATGTTAAATGTACTGCAAGAAGTGAAGTGTAACAAACCTGGAAAAGGTCAGTGTCCCTGACAGCTGAAACCCAAGCAGAAAATACTTGGTGTCTGTCCCCTAATGTTATGGATGATTGATTGAGATGTCAACCCCTTGAGAAATTATGCTGTGTGAGGCTTTTCAGATACGCTGGAGGAACCAAGGAAACCTTTCCACATAGCCTTAAAATATCAATATGTTTCAATTGATCAGACTCAGAAAAAGACTTCTGCCTTCGGCACTTTGGCTGTCTCCTCTCCAACTTCATCTCACAGGTTATTTATAAGCCCTTGTGACCTGAGAGGAGGAAGCTGGTGGACACAATGTTGTGCAGCTACTGCAGCAACATCAGGGTATGTCTACACAGCAAGACAAAAGTTGAATTAAGATATGCAACTTCAGCTACGTGAATTGTATAGCTTAAATCAAAATAGCTTAACTCAGCTTTTGGCGCTCTCTACATAGTAGGAAGTCGAAGGAAGAACACTCTTCCTTCGACTTCCCTTACTCCTCGTGAAATGAGGGTGACAGGAGTCAGAGTAAGAAGTCCTCCAGCTTGATATTATTTCAAAGTAGCTTGCTGTGTAAACATACACTTTGCTATTTCGAAATAACGTCAGTTATTCCAAAATAATGCTGCTGTGTAGACATGCCCTCAGAGAGCAAGACTCTATAATAAAGTCCTACCATTAACATTATCTCTGATGGAAGAGCAATCTTCTTCCGTTAACGCAGCCTGGTGCCCTCCACCACCAAAGGTGGATCATGTAAACCAGGCTTGTAGATTCAAACCAAAGAAAAGAACAGTTGATTCCATGAGGGTGGAATATCCATCCTTCTGACACCTTACTTGTCTATTTTTCTGGCATCTCGAGTTTTCAGCCATTCACCAAAAGTGGACCAGTCATCAGAAGGATTCCAAGGTTCTTTTCCCACAAAAAAGTCTGGGCAGATGGCTCTGTGAGAAAAATCAACATGAGTTCACTTATCAAATCCTGAGATGTTTTATGGTCTTTTAAAAATAAGAAATGTTTCCATTTATCTGTGATATGGCAGTGATTTCACTCCCTTCTATTTTGTTCTTTGTTAAATATTAATAATACTTTTTCAAAAGTATAAATAATTATTTGAAATATATATAAGATTTTCTTAACAATACTCCTTTAATCACAAACTCATGTACCATGACAATGGGGATAGAAATACTCCCTTTTTCCAATCCTTTGTCTATCTTGAATATTTAGACTGCTCACAAAATCTGAAATTTGGACTATTTGGACTTCAGCATTTGAGTTTGACCATTTATTTCATTTGGCCATTCTAAATGCCAGCTAATTACAATTTTATTTTTCCTGAAAACTTTTCAGGAAAAAACAGAGTGTCTTATTATGTGTTTTACAATGCCTAGCATAGTGGGACCCAATCTGAGATGGGGTTTGAAGGTGCTACAGTAATATAAACAATACAATTGTAATTAGTTGGCATTTAGAATGACTAAATGAAATAAATGGTCAAACTCAAATACTGAAGTCCAGATGGTCCAAATTTCAGAATTTGTGGGCAATGTCTTGCCATCAGTGCCTATACACAGAAGTTCTCATTTAATGTAATGCGAAGTTCTATTTACAAACTGATGACACAAGCTGGCCCTGTATTATTAATCTTAACATGAGATTTAAACATAAGTCATACATAATGTCACTTAAATCAGACTCGTATTTGCAGAATGAATTTGTCACCCAGGACTGCACTATAAATATTGAACAGATTCCTCTCCATGGGAGCAAGCCTGTTGAGATTACACAAGGTATTTTCCTCAGGGCCCTGAAATTCAGTCTCAGGGGTTTCCTGCCTTAGTGATACCTGGGGGGGAGGAGGAGGAGAGGACACCTAAAATAAACTCCTGTGTTCCTACCACTGGATGGTAATATTCCAGTCCAACCAGTCACCTCCTGCATATCTTGGTAACTGGCTGAGTACACAGACAGGAAAGGAAGCCAAAAGTTGCCTGCCTGCCAGCTTTCCACTTCCTCTCCAACCTTGCAACCAAAGTGAAAAAATCAACCTCTCTCCCAATCAGAAATTAGCAGGCAGAGAGATAGTGAGCTACAGACCGAAAGTGGACAAGCTTTGGAGCATACAAGCAGAAAATTCGTACCCTGCTGATTGACACAATCAGCTATGAAACCTCAATCAGCCAATAGGGAGGTAGATACTAGCTCCAAAAGTTGACCTCAGTAGACATTTGAGATTAATAAATGTCTTAGCTGCCATAATTTTAAATTCACTTTTCTCGGTGGGCTAAAGCCAGTGATGGGGGCCAGCATTCAAAACCAGAAAATTACGAAATTAGACACAAGCCCTCTTTTCTGAAGCACAATTCAAGTCTCAGCTCCTCAGGTGTAGTTGTAATTACACAATAATTATCTGCATGCAGCACATGGATTTGCTACAAATTGGTACCACACTTTTGGATTTAACTCCTATGAACCTCAGAAGCTTGGGACAAGCTGGGAACAGGGGAAGGATTGTATGCAGTGCACTAAAAAAGAAAACCCCTCATGCTGTTCAGATTGAAAGATGTTTTATTTTAGAATTTACAAAATCTAATATGAACACATACTTATTATCATTGTTCAATTAAATTTCACTCAAAGCTGTTTAATTTTTTTTAATCACTCAAGTTGTTGGACATTTAAAATAAACAGCCTTGCTGGAGCTTCTGGTAGTGCACTGCACCTTGACATTTCTCAGAACTCTTGTTGTGCAGCATATTCTGAGAACTTCAGCAGCCTATGCAGAGACCTGCTGGATTCTGCAGTCTCTCCAGGGAGATTCCACTTTTTGACCTTTTGTCGTCTTTGTTCTAAATATAAGGCATTCTCTGTGTGACATGAAGACACCACACACCAGGTAATAATTTGGACCTAGCGAACTTGAGAATGTCTCTTTAGGGGGAAAAAAACAATACAAAAATTGCTTACGTGTATCCATTAGCTGCCAGCATGTCGACTACATATCTGGTATTTGGGAGTTGCCATCCAAATATATCTTGAATCACAATCACAGCTTTTTCCGTGCTGACGGATGGTTTGCAAACATATGCCTTGATGTGCTCAACTTGCACTTCCTGCCCAAGGCCCCCATACTCAAACCTGTCTCCAATGTCACATGGGCAAGGTCTCGCTTCATTGGCCATCTGAAAATCTGACAGGAAGGTAAAAGGACAGGAAGTTTGAAGGGCAAAAATTAATGTATCTTCAAACTACTGTAACTGATCCCACTAGAGGGCATCATTGCAAACTCCATAATACAAAGTGCCCTCTAGATGTCTGCTAATAGGGTATTCTGTGTACCATGAGTTCAGAGGCATATGCTTTAGCAGTGAGGGGAAATCGTGGCTAGTCAGTGGGCTGCATGAGTGGCTCTCCATCTCAATGGGCTGCAAGATTGTACTAACCAAGACAGTCTCCCAGGTTAAGGCAGTTTTTTTAACTGCATTTGTGTACCTAGAATTTACGGGATGTTCCGACTGAACTATAGCAGCATTTGGATTCAGAGGGAGCTCACTGCTCTCACAGTCAATACCATATGCAATCAGCATGCACCTCACTTTCCATGCCCTTGTTTTACATGCATGTCATTTTAGTAATACTGGTAGGGGGAAAAAATGGTATGAACGAAAACCCGCAGAATATGGCAACCCTGTGCACGGGCAATGGTAAACAAACACCCCAACAGGCCACACACAGAACACCCTTAAGTGGCCCGCAACTATGCTATCGGCAGTCCATGCACCAGGCTTTATCAGTCAAAACTGAACTAGGCGGTCTTCTTCTTCCCTTTTTTTTTTTTTTTTTTTTGAGGTTTGTCCTCGGTCTAGCACAGGGACAAAACCAGATGTGATTTTGTCTGGTATTGGATGGGGACACCATTCTACCCTCTCTAGCTCTTAAAATGCCCCCATGTGCTATTCCAGACACGAGAAAAGTCACATTGCTTGAGAGGCAGTAGCCCTCAGAGGGACATCATAAATACTCATGGAGTTCAAGTGTTCAGGAGAGAAGTATGCTTGAGGACAAATAAATGCCATGAGTGCACTCACTCTAACAGCTACAGTGCCCAGCTCTCTGCTTATGGTAGTCCAGTGTAGGGGCAACTGTGTTTCATTGTGCTCACTCCACACCATACTCTGGCCATTCATGTGTGTTACCATCTCACTCCTCTTGCCTATAAACTGCTTGGTTCTATGCACCCTTTGTCCAGCCTTCAGTCCCGGCTCATTCTGCCTGCCACCCAGCCTTCCCTCCACAGAGCTAGCAGTAAGGCTGCTGCTCCTATTCACATGTCTGGACACTTCAAAGCTCATTGTGTTACTTCCTTTTCATGCACCCAAGAGCCTTCTTCTGACTAGATCTTTTCCCTCCAGCTCTATCAGGGTGAGCACTAAGTACCCAGTAATGAGCCAGCAAGTTTGTTACACTTCGCATCTAACTCAAATTAGGCTGGTTTTAAAAAAAAAGAGTCTGAGGACATCAGCAGTGTCTTAAAGTCCCTTCTGCACCTGTTTCTGTTCTGCCCTCCAGATGACTCCAGTTGGCTTCTCTCAGGAGGGTCTTGCTTTCCCAAGTGCACATACCTGGGAATGCCCGGTGGGGGCAGAGGGAGGGGGTTGATGCCTTTGAGGAGCAAGGGATGGGGGAGGCAATGTTCCCCGCCAGCTGTGCGTGTTCTGATAATCAGCTAGGCAGCGAATCTCTCCTAGGCAGCCACTCATGCGCTCAGCTTACAAGGAACACTGGTAGGGGAAGCGGGAATCTCTCCTCGCAATTCTGCCTTGAGCAATTTCTCTTGGAAGCAGCAGAGGGAAATTTAAGGTGAATTTGGTTTGACTTCAGAGAAATATGTAACTCAAGCACAAAGCTGTGAATAGCCAAACACCTCAGATAAATGTTTCCCCTCAGACAATGGAAAAAACCACCCTTGTTTATTACTCAATGGCTACAGAAAGTCAGCTCCACCACCATCAAGTATGGGCAAATGGGGTCTTTTGAGAATCCCTGGGGGAAAATTCCTCAGAGCAGCTCTCTGTCTGTGTTACTTGTTGAGGGGGAAACTGCAGCACCTGTGGAAATTCACCTGAGTGTTTCTGAGTCAGTTTGCCAGTGCGGACCTCACCGCTAAAATGCTCAGTGAACACTACCCCTCAAAAAAAGACACCAAATGGGAAATGGATTTTGGCGAGATCCTGCTATTTAGACAGAAGGTGAATGAGTAAGGACATTATATTTATCTCCACATACCTTTTGTTCCACCCAACATGGAGTTGGGTTAGAGTTAGATACTCGCAACAGTGCTAAAATCTAGAAAATTTCCTATCCCTTCTCCTTCATCTCATTCCGTCCAGTGTTACCAACCACCATCCCTCAGCCTACTTCCCCCGTGGAACTCCTCTCTCCTGCTCCCCCTCCCCAAAGCCAACCCCTCATCACAGACACTGGCCCATAAGAAATATAGGCCAGGGCACATACTAATATCAGAGGGAGTAACTGTCACCAGTTAGGAAGAAATTACGATCCCCACAACAGTCTGAAGACAGACTCCAAGTTGCTAATTAGGAGAACCCTTGAAATGCTCCCTATCTATTACGGATACTGCTACACTGTGAAGCATTAGAGGAACAAGTTTACTGGCTTCTAGGGCCAAATGTGACCCAACAGCATCCATTTAATGCTGTTTCTTAATTGATGTGTATCTGGGTTGCACACGGTGTTTTTGTTTAATGAAGTTCATTTTAATGTGAATTTACACCATTTGATTCATTTAAATTTAACAAATAATAAAATGTTCCCATGTGATTAATCCAGCCCTCTGGAATTAGTGCTGACTTAAGGAGAGTGGATTCCATTAAGTAGCTTGGCATAGCACTACTTCTATTTGTTTTTATGGTAGAAAATAATCTTAGTTTACTATGACTACCATGCACATAATACCCCCAGGATACAGTTCACAAGTTGCTGTTTAGAACTGGCTGGTTTATCAAGTTCTAATAATATCCCAAAGGCAACATCATTTGGCAACATTTAGGGAGCAAAAGGTTGGCATGCTGGATCTTGCAAATAAAACTTTTATGTGCGAAAAAAATACAGTAGGTGGATCATGCAGTATCTGCATTTGTTAGCCACAATCAAGTCACTGATGATCCACTCACCATGGTGTTTTGAAGGGAGTCCTGAACTCTACATTTTGTCACAGCACTGCTGGCTAGGTTATGGCAATGCATCATGCTTTGATTTAAATGTAAACAAAATTTCAGAGGCATCAGCTTGTGCAAAGAGCTGCCAAGATCCCTCTGGCCACCTTACATCATTGCATTAATCTACCTATCTATTACAGTTCAAAGGGTTAGTTATTATATTTAAAGCTGGATTATACCAGCTACTTCAGATATCCTTCTCATGCCCAGTAATGACAGTTATGATCTGTGGATCCATCTTGTGGCCATTTCCTGGAATGAACAAATGCATGACATACATTAGCCACATTGCTCAATGCATTACTAGAAGGCTCTCAGATACTAAAGTGATGAGGGTGGTACAAGAACGTACATAGAATAGAATAGACTAGAACAAACAGTTTCCTTGTCTGAGCCCGACAGCAGGGAATTATCATTAGAAGGTGTCCTATATTGTGGATATGCCCCCTTAAATGCTACTTAGAGCTCATACTAAGTGATCATTAGAGCTCAATGCAAGGCATATTTATATATGCAGGCTTTTAATGAAATACTGGCAATTTTAATGTTAACTGAATTTTAACGTTAACTAAAGTCCAGTTCCTGCTGGTTCTCAACCAGAAGTATGCAGATATCTTCCAGGGGTACATTAACTCATTTACATATGTGTTTCATTTTACAACAGGCTACATAGAAAGTACTAGTACAAAATAAAATATCATACCGACAATAACTTATTTATATTGCTCTCTATATTATTTACTGAAGTGTAAGTACAATATTTATATTCCAAATTATCTGTAATTTTATGATAAAAATGAGAAAATAGGCAATTTTTTGGGAATAGTGCCCATGTCTGAATAAAAAATGGCGTGTAGAGAAAGGGACACAATTTTGGGAACATGTACATGGAGTCTGCACGCTTCCTGCAAGCTCCCTGACTATGCCCAAGCATCAGGTTTTGAGGATTAGAGGTGGGACAGGAAGGAAAAGGATCAGTGATGCAGCCATCACTATCTATCGCTCTCTATCGGTCATTAGCACTTCCAGAGCTGGGATGTGGGAGCAACTTCCCAAAGGCCACAGCAGTCATTACAGATCAGCTTTGGCACAGTTTAACAATTTAAGGGGGGAGTGTTAATGCCTCATCCCAAGTACCCATGGATGGGAATCCCCTGCACTAAATCCAACACACAGACTTAGCATGTGCAGGAAGATTTAGGTCTCACAGAATAGGTTTCACATATTCATAGATTCCAAGGCCAGAAGGGCTTAAAAATGATCATGCAGTCTGACCTCCATGACAACACAGGCCATGAAACTCTCTCAAAATAGTTCCATCCTAGGGCTTTGCTTTTAGAAAAATAGCCAATCTTCTCAACTGAAAAAATGGCAGTGAGCTCTTCTGCAAAGTTAGTTTATGTACCCTTACTGGTCACTGTAAGATATGTCTCCTCCTCTGTACCCAGTCCAAAGGATAGGTGTTTGTGTCAGCCCCCAGCTACAGATCATGATTCTTAAGTTCAAACTGTGGAGACTCCTGTTTTAGTTCTGGAGTTACCCAGTGTTGGCGAAGATGGTGGCTGTTGTACATCTCATCTCTGTCATTCTGTTTTGTTTTGTTTTTTAAAGTCATTCCGGGCTGCTGTGGAGATACAGGCTGTATGAAAGATATTGTATTTATGTTTCCAAGATGTATTTTTAAGAGATAATTTAACTGAACTTACCAATAGGAAGTCAATCTAAATGTGGGATTGACAACAGTATGGGGGGCTGGCTGCCTCCCTTCTTCTCCAGATTGTATGCTTACCTGAAAACCAACAGAAACATTTTGCCACTACTGCCCTTTCCCACTTTCTTAAGAAACCCATTTCATTGGCATTGTTATAAAAAAGCTTGAAGCATTCAGGGAGTTGATAAGACACACTCTGCTGTTGTCCCAGTGCAGTGATTCTCAGACTCTGCATTGGGACCTCCAAGTGGGTCACAGCTGGTTTTACTGAGTCACCAGAGCTAAGGAGAGATTTGCTAGGGCCCGGCCCAGGGCTTCAGCCCTGTTGTCAGGACTCAGGCTTCAGCCCTGTGCAGTGGGTCTCAGATTACAGGCCTCCTGCTCAGGTGTAGGAGCTTCGGTGGCGGGGGGAGGGAGTGTCACATACTAATTTTTGTTGTCAGAAAAGGGGGAGAGACAGCTCATTGACGTCTGAAAACTCCCCCTCCCCTCCTCCGTCCTAGCAAGGATCTGTACAGCAGGGATGACCAGGCAACGCCCTGAGTGCCCCAGGGCGCAGTCACAAGGGCTGGCATCAGCACGGCCTGGCTGTCGGCAGCTGTTCCCTGCCTGCTGCTCTGGGATCGCAGCCGGGCGTTGTCAGAAAAGGGGGAGAGACAGCTCATTGACGTCTGAAAACTCCCCCTCCCCTCCTCCGTCCTAGCAAGGATCTGTACAGCAGGGATGACCAGGCAACGCCCTGAGTGCCCCAGGGCGCAGTCACAAGGGCTGGCATCAGCACGGCCTGGCTGTCGGCAGCTGTTCCCTGCCTGCTGCTCTGGGATCGCAGCCGGGCGGAATCGGGCCCCGCCCCAGGCTCCGGGGACTTGGCTTCTCGCTGCCGCACTCCGA